CCGCGCCGAAAGGCCCCGACATGGCGGCGGCAGCAGCTCCCCCCCGCAGCCCCCGGGAGTTCTCCTCCAACTGGAAGGCGCTGCAGGAGGTGAGGGGAACCGGGGGGGATCGGCCCGGGGCGAGCCGGAACCATCCCCCGGGGGTCTGGGCCGGGGAAGGCGCCCGGGGAGGGCCGGGGCCGTGCTGTCCTTCTCCGAATGCGGTCCCCGGTGGGATGTAGTAATTTAGAAAAAAAATTATAATCTTCGTGTCAATAAATAAAGCGCTGCGGGCAGGCATCTGGGACGTCCCGTTGCAGGCAATGCCCCTGTCGCTAGGGAGTCCGGGGCCGCTTGGCACCGAGGCAGGAGGCCAAGAGCCCTCGGGAAGGATGGCGGGGCCAGAAACGGAGGGAGATAATCCTTTTTTCCTTCTTTTTGTCACTTTAGCTACTGAAACAAAAGGCAGATAGCCCCAAGGAGCCCCTGTCTACGTGTCAAACATACACCAAAAAGAAGCATCCACTCAAAGTGGGAAACGGCCAAGAAGTTCCAGCTATCAATGGGAACGGGAATGGGGTAAAGGCCAAATCCACAAATAAAATGGACAATGGTTCTGCCAAAGACAATCCTCCTTTGGCTAAGCCAAAATCCAAGAAGGTTGCAATGGATAAGAATTTAAATGGCACCAAAAGCGATGGAAAAGGCTGCAAAGAAAAAAAGAAAAATGGCAATATTTTAAAGGAGAACGGGGATATAAAACATAAGAGGAGGAAAGCTGAAGAACGTGCAGAGCAGCAACCCAAAGAGTGAGTACTTCAGGCATCATATGTGTATGTGAATATTTATTTTGAGAGCTGTACGTAAGGAGCACAGAGCAGTACGTTCAAAACAGCTGCACTCTTCCAGACTAAATTTTGGGAGAAATAAGACGCATGCTGCCCCTACTCCTCAGATACAGCAACGCACCTGCATAGGTGACAGTACTAGACTAATTTTCATGGAGCTAATTTCTGGGTTTAAAAAAAATAAATACGCTTTTCGTACACTATAAAGATGCAAGACTGCTTTAAGACCATTAAATGTAATTAAATCTGTACTTACCAGGGCTGAAATCTGGTTTGATGACGTTGATCCAAAAGATATTGAAGCAGCAATAGGACCTGAAGCAGCAAAAATTGCTAGAAGAAATCTGGGACTTGAAACAGGCCAATCCAACCAGTCTGTGGAGCAGGTGCTGGTTAAAGAAAAGGCTTCTGAAGGGTGAGTGGCATTCCAGCGGGAAGGATGGTGGCAGAGATTACCTTCTAATAGCTGTGATTTGCAGGTGCACAGCGTAAGCTGACATCTCCCTGAGTCTGCTGACAAACAAACTGCCCAGTTTTCCCCGTTCGTATCAACCTGCGAACCTTGTGAACTCCACTCTGCAGTCCCTGTAACAGGGGCGTCACCAAGCTGTCCTTTGTCTTTTAGGCTGACACGAGCTGTAGCCATGGACTGTGAGATGGTGGGAGTGGGACCCAAGGGTGAGGACAGTATTGTGGCTCGTGTGTCCATCGTGAACCAATTTGGAAAGTGCATTTATGACAAGTATGTCAAGCCTACAGAAGAGGTGACTGATTACAGAACAGCTGTTAGTGGCATACGCCCTGAGAATATAAATACAGGTAGGAGGTTTTTCCCCCCCAAAATGTTCTTTAAGGAGGGAGAATTTCACAGACTATCACAGAAGCCTCGTGCCTTGGATAAGTTTTAGACCTATCTGGGGAAATGGAAAACAAAACGTAGTCTGAGTGCTAAGAAAAATTGTGGGAAGAAGTACTTCTTAGAGTGGTCACTAATGCCCTGGAAGAAATTAACTCGTGGATTATGGTATGGGAATATTAGGAAGTTTATTTCCTTTTAGTGCTATGCTCTATGGAATTCTCTGTGCTCTTGTAACAAGCAGAGGATTTGGTGTACTGTACAAATTTGTGTAACTACAGTCCCAAGGATACAATTGCCTTCACAAAAAAGATGCGGTGTTTTAACTGTAGTTTGCTTAGTTGTCTTATGCATCTAACGGGGAGCGTTTCATTGTGTGGTATTTTCAGGTGAAGATTTTAAAACAGTTCAGAAGGAGGTCGCCGACATCTTGAATGGAAGGATTTTAGTTGGACATGCTTTACGCAATGATCTAAAGGTACATGGCTGCAGATTTGTTATTTTGAAGACAAGGCTCCAAAAATTTAAGATTGATTAAATTTCTAATACATCTTTCTGGATCAGATGAACGCACCTAAACTCCTAGAAACTACGGCTTTATCACTGTTACCTCAGTTTCTTGTTATTTCATGCTGCACCAAGTATAGCCCTAGTCACTTGCCCACTAAAGTTCTTCAGCTTCCAAATTCTGTTGCTAATAGCACTGATCTGCTTACTAAAGAGCCAGGAAAGAAACGGAGTGATGAAAAAACTGCTTGCATGCTTTGCTTAGCCCCCAAAGCTCAGCAGTCTGGTCATCGTTTCCAGAGACAGGTATCTTATGTCATGCTGTACCAGCGCTGCAGGTAGTCGCTACAGGTGGTGCCTCCAGCTTCAGTTCTGTTTCTCGTGCCAAGTAGAACTGTGGTTCTTGAATCCAGCCAGTGTCTGGATGATCTTGGTCTTGTCCCTTCATGGTTTTGAACTCTCTTATAATGGATGGAAGGAAAGAGCAGGAAGCTGTACATTAAGCTGTATAAACTTCCATGCAACAGCATGCTTTGGACTGGAAATGTGATTTCTTCTAGGTCCTATTTCTCGATCATCCTCAGAAGAAGATACGCGACACACAAAGATACAAGCCTTTCAGACAGAGAGTCAAGGTAAGAAGCTGATGGGAAGGTGCACCTCAGTTAACTGACTCTTGAGCTGCTGACTCCCAGCTGCTAGCTCGCTCCTACACTTGCCTCTACCTGACCCTGTTCCTTCTTTCCTACCTGAAACAGGGATGCCTGCTTTTTGTCACTTGAAAATACTAGTCTGGTTGAATGCTTACTTAGTGTTTGAAATATATCAGTAAGTTACTTAGTTCAGTACAAACTTTACCAGTAATACCTGTGCACAACATTCAGTGGCTCTCCCATTCTTTAGCACTTGCATGGTCTTCATAATGCTTTTGTGGATAGCAAAATAAGATGGTAGAGTTCTACTTACAGTAAGGCTTATGCGATCTTCTTAATGGTACCATTTCCACAGGGATATAAAAAAAAAAGATGGCTTCAAGTTTCTGCTTAGACTGCAAGAGTAAAGGTTCAGATTATAGGGAGATATTTTAAAGTTTCATAACTATATACTCAGGTTTTCTTTTTCATAACAAAGCACCCCAAACATAAATCTTAGGGTTATGGTAATACACATAAAATCCTCTCAGCAGTGCACACATAAATCTCATAATTCATTAATTATTCTTGACAGTCAACCTGTAGAAGCTGAGGTGTGCTATACTTCATTGAGGAATACACTTAAATACTTTTTAGTATACATATATATACACACACATCTATATATCTCTCTCAAGTAGTGCAAGACAGCATGATTCTATCTTTTCTGTTTCTAGAATGCACGGCCATCATTGAAACTGCTCTGTGAGAGGCTGCTGAATGTTCAAGTGCAGACATCAGAGCACTGCTCGGTATGTATCTCGTCAGAATATACATTTTTGGGTAGATCAACAAGGTACTACACATTAGCTCTAGGATCTAGGTTCAATCTAGAATGCTGTGGCTTCATTCTAGCCTCTCAGTGAAAGTTAGCAAGCTCTGCTTGGACACCAGCATGCAGTAAGATTGTCATCTAAGCTTGCTTACCGTTGTGTGTCCCATACCACTTGGATTACTTCCTTATTTTCATAAACTTCTTTTGCACAAGTCAACTGAATTTTGTTTAAATATTAATTCTTGTTATTTTAAGATCCCCAGGGGAAAAAGTAATTCTCAAGTATCAACTGCTTACCTTAAAAGCAGCATCCTGCACCATTGTACTACGGTGGGTTGGATAAAATAGTGTGAGAGCCTACTGCCGAATCTCAGCAGTTAGTTCCTGTCTTTCAGCTGCCAGGAGGATATAATAGAGGAATGAACTGAAAAAGCAGGGCAAATTGTGAGGGTATCTCCAAGATACCGTATCAAGAGTATTTTTTTCATTATGGCTTTCCAAGTCACGATCAGAAAGAGAAGTGCATAGCCTTGTGGTGGGCCATGCATTCTGGACACATACTCATCCCCTTCCACTAGCCACAGAACCTAAATCTAGAAAGAGATTATGAAATGTTAATTGAAAGGATGTCTTAAAATGATGTGAGATTTAGCTGCTTATTAACAATGTTCTTAAACCATGTCAGCTATGTTTCATTAAGCCGCCTGTTTGTTCTGTTCTCTTTTAGATTCAGGACGCACAAGCAGCTATGAGACTGTACACCTTAGAGAAAAAGAAATGGGAAGCTGCTGTTAAGAACAAATCTAACAACAAAAATTGTAAAACTTGAATGATTCTACCCTGTGTTTTTATCTGCAGCATTTGCTGGTTTCATGTCGCATTCCAGGGCAAATTTAGAGATAACTCGGAACCGACAGCAGCTACTTCATAAAAATCAGTCAAAAGACAGTAACTTCCTAACCTGGTAGGTGAATGCTGCCATACAAGAATACTGCTAGTATCCCCGTTCTGGATGGTACCTATGCCTAATGCCTACTCCTGTGTTTAAACAATACGTGTAACAAATGCCTGCATTTGTGAAGTACTTCATCAGTTCAATTTCTGCAAAGGAAATATACACTGAATAAGTTAAAAAAAAAGTGTTTTTAAATTACGGATAGATGAAGGAAGAAACTGTCATTGCTTTGCCGAAACTCCCAAGACTAAAATCTTTATTTCAAGTATTTTAAAGTCTATGAAGTAAGGTGAATTCTTAATTATTGCTGTTAGTCTCACAGTTGTGGTACCTAAATCAACAGAATATATAACTTTATATATTATTAATGGCCCAATATTAATCTTTCTGGTGAGAAAAAGCTTCTAAAATATTTCTGGAGGATCGAAGCTTTTATATCTGAACAGAAGTGTACAAGTCTTGTTCTTCTACAAAAAGTTTTTCTTTTACTTCCGCAGTTTCAAAAGCGTTGCATCCACAAGGGTCATTATCTCCTGGAGAGAAATGTGAGAATTGTCAAATACAAGATTATCTTGTTGCTTCACTTATTTTTATAGTCATTTATTAATAAAAACACTGTGTCTAACATAGGTCTGTAAAGCAGCTGGTGTTTTAAACATGTGGGGTCTGATTCTGCAAAATCCAAAGCAACTATTACCAGACTGAATACTAATGCTATGATTTAAATAATCTAAATGGATGCTGGAAGGTAACAGGGAATGGGTTTTGGAGATGTAGCAGTTGCATGTCGCACACTTGTATTGCCAGAACAAGAGTGTTCTGGCCTTGTCTGTGCTGTCTGTCAGCAGGGGACACGGGGAACAACGAATTAGGTTTACAACAGAAGAGGGAGCTTTCTTCTCTTTTGTGACTTCTTTTTCTGCACTACCTTATAGCTGCCCTGTTCATTAAAATGGTGCAGGCAACGCCTGCGGGAGACATTGGAGAAGAAGTTTGCGTCTAACTGTCTTTGAGACAAATTATGTAAGCAGGCTAAACGCGTAACTAGAAAGAGGAAAGTTAAGACTAACCAGTTTTATTGGCTTGATGAACAAACTTCTAGTTACTAGTTTCTTGGCAGCAAGCCATTGCAAAGGAATTATTAGTGTAACACATTAAATAGCTTGAATAAATTTGCTGTTTCTGGTGTTTAAACTAGTTACCTTTTTGCAGTATGACTACTTGCTGAAATTTAATATAAGTTAAATCTTCAGGCAAACTGTCACAAGGGTTTGTTTTGTTGGTTTTCGGGTGTTTTGTTTTTTTTAAGGATGCCACTTACAAAGCAAAAATAACTGGATGTAATATGCTTTATTCCTGTAAACTTTAGCCTGTTTTAGTATGAAGAATGTAGTAAATTAATGCGATGAAATGCTGCAAGAGACCAGAACATAGTTTTAAAAAATTACATAAAGAAAAAACTTCCAACTACTTGTTTTCAGTAGTCAGAAATACTCTTACAAACTGACTCTTCACCCCATATACACCTAACTCTGTAAATTTCTGCACTATGTAATTCCAGCTATTTGAAAATGATAAAATCCATAACCAGAAATAATATACTAAGCATCCACTCTTTATTATCACAGTGACTTCTACATACCATGCTAGATGAAAACCAGCTTTTTATTTCAGACAGCAGTTCTTCCATTTTCTGGGACAGCATATCCAGCACGACATCATCTGTATGTAAATGACCAGGATATTCCCCCCCCCCCCCCCCGCCAATGGTTTCAGCAGGAGCTAAAGGACAGCAAGGAGAGGACAGATCTACACAAACAGAAGGCAAGATAAGATGAAGTTATAACTTTATAACATCAGAGGGGCATTTAATAATTACTCAAGAACAAGTGGGACGAACTCTCCGTTTCAATTCATCCTCCTTTCTCAGATACATAGTAAGTCTTCCCTGAGAGCAACTACCCTGTCCCTGGGCAGCTGCTGTTACGGTTTTCTTTATTAATCTTTTGGGGGTGGGGGAGAGGAAGAGACTTGACAACCACCACCACCACCTCACCATACTGAGTCATCTCGTTAATCAGCACACAGATACTTTGCACCACTTCTGGATCATCGTAGTGAAGGCGGTAGGCATCTTTGATCAGGTTTATTCCACTGCCTTTTGAATCTGTTATAAATCTCAAAGCCGCTATTTCTGAAAGGGAGACAAAACACTGCTGGGCTAATTGGTAGCTGCAGACTGCATTATCTGCTTTCCAGTCCCCCACTCCAGCTAGCCCACATGCAGTACTTTTCCAGGAAGTCAGGTCCATTATTTTCAGCCTTCCTAAAAGCTAGTCTAAAGCATATTTGGGCAACAAGTAGAAGACCATATATGCAGCCGACACTCACGCGTGGCAGAAGTGATATTTTCACGGTTTTCACATTGATTGAGCCCTACCCATTTACACAGTTGAAACAACTTCATCGTAAAATAAGTAACAAAACATTCTCAAGTTACTAATGGATCAGATTGTGCTGATCTAATACTTCTCATACATGCACGCTGGGTCCATGGGAAGAAAAAAATTTGCACCTCCAGTTTCACTATTTCCTCTTCCAGTCCTGCAAGAAAAAATTAACTCGGGAGAGCAGATGCCAATCCCAATCCCACTATGAGCTCTTGAACTATACAGAAACATCCACTTCTGAGCTGATTTGCAATTAATAAAAAAAGAATTGCTGAATGTTACCAGATAGCCTTAGAAGGCTTGCTAATGCCAGGCAAGTGTTCTTCACCAGCACTGGTCTTTCTGGGTTCATCCTGAGCGCATCCAGCAGAAGTGCTGTTGTGGGCTCATACTCATTTTCAGTTAAGCAACCTTTAAAAAAAAAAAAAAAAACACACACACAAAATCCCAAAACTTCAATATACTTAAAAGCCTTTAACACACTCATCAGCATTTCAACTTCTGCCTCCTGTTTCTGGAATGACTTTTTAATTATGCGATAAAAATTACAAAGAAAGCATGTGAAAACCTGTACTGCAGTAAAAAAGGCCCAATAAAGTCTTATCGTGAGTTGACCCAGGGGTCTAGGAGAAATTTCTGATACATTTTCTATGTCAAGATTTCCTTTCATTCTCCAAGCCAAAAGGAATGGAGAGTCCTAAATACTCATTCTGCTGGCGGGTACTAGAAAAGAGATTGCTTAGGGCATTTTACTCGGCTCTTCTAGTAGAATGATGGCGTAAGCGCAGGGTGGTAAACATACGGCAATATTCTTGCATGAGGAAGAAATAAGACAGAGTAGTACTGCAAGGATGCGTTTCTTAGCACACATGATAATGAAAGAGATGCATTTTATTTTTTAATCTGAAATACTGTTCCCAATTTACAAAGCAAGTGGCATAAAAAACAAACCTCCCAGCCCATGCTGCACAACACTAACGCTGCGTTCAAAGGAGTAACACAAATGGGATTCTTGGTCTTAAGAGAGAAGCCAGAGAATGCTCTGCACAACAAGGTTCTTGTAGCTGCCTATCGTTACAGTACCCATCAGCAGTATCTCGTTATATAATTGCTACAGCTCATCAAAAATAGCTTCATTAGGGAGTGTTAGAGAGCAAGTGCATGGACGACTGGTAAAGAGGATGCAAGTTCCTAACTCTGCTGCCATCTGCAGAGCCTGCTGAGGCCCAGCAGCCTGTATTTCAAGGATCACCACTGACAGACAGACGTGTTTGGCATACCAGCCTTTTCTGTGCACAAGGGACAAGGCAGCTGGGAAAACACACCTTGGAGTGACAATGCCCACAGAGCTGAGCAAGCAGTCTCCGTAACTGTTCCATTCTGGAGGTGCTCTTGAAGGACCGCAGAGGTAACAGGGACAGCACTTCTAAGCGATGCTTGGTCTACGTTATTCTCTGAATTATCATAACAAAAAGGAAATGCATTAAGCAGAGTTATTTAATCAAGTAATAAAATCATAAGCACATTGTATGTCAAATTATATCAGTAAAACCTTAATGGGTGATGGCATTGGAGTAATGCAACATTATTTTAGTATGGACAACAGCAGAGGGAAGGAATTTAAAATGTCCAAAACCAAATCATATTTTACAGGACTAATAAATAGTAATGTTTATTGCAGAAAGCTGAACTTCCCCAGGAACTAGTTTTCTTTGCCATTTAAATTATACATGAGGATCACAGCAAGAAACCTCCAAAAAGAACCACCTTTTTGACAGAATATGGTCTGCAGGATAGATATTTAGCTGGTCACATAAATCAAATGGGTGGTTCGTTGCACAGAGGGAATAAAACACACCAAGTCCAATTGTGCACACTCTGTGCTTTCAGCCTTCCCTGGTGATTAGAACACCACACACCTATACAAGAACACGTCACAAGTAACAAATCCCCTAAAAAACTCCCAGCGTGGTCTCATAAGGAGTCAGCTCAAGCGATCACCCATGGCTCTCCAACACTCTGGGATGATGCTGGTTTAGTTCTAAGGGAATGGGAAAAGTACACTTGCCACCTGGCCAATCGCATTTCTTTTGGAAAAGCAAGTTTCTAGGAGATGTCCAACTCAAGATTTAGCACAGTGCTGCCAAGAGAAGCGTGATGCAAAGAAACAGGATGCTATTAATTCCAAATGCTATTCTGATACCTAATCTAATATGCTGTTTGCACTGCAGTCCCTCTGCTAAGAGCAGAGCAAAACCACAACTGACAAACCAGAAACTGCGTGTACCCTTTCATTTCTGACAGTCTGCTCATAAGCCGTATCTTGGCCTAAACAGTAAAGATTTTACTTTGACAACTTATCACAAAAAGGGTTGCTAAAAAGTCTGCATTGTTTTCTCTCATTTAACTCTGGATCACTTAAAGTTATTCTAGTAGTGCTGTGGAGACATCTCTCCAGAATGGGAGAAAGAAGAAAAATCCAGTCCCAGCAACAGGAATGCCTGAACTCGATCAGGCACGATACCTGCTGCCTTTCAGCCACGTGAGTCTAGGCACAATACTTGCTGTGTTCTACCTACCACTCGCAGCCAAGCTCCAGAGAACTCCGCAGCAAGAGAGGCAGATCTTTTCATTATGAAGAAAATTTCTTAAAATTGACAGAAGGTCTGGAATTACTCCAACTTTCCTTAGGTTCTCTGCAGTAACTTCTAAAAAACACAGAAAAAGAAATTCTATAGAATCTGGTATTTCTGTCCCCCTCACTGTCCTCGCAACAGACAGCACTACTAACCATATTTAAACAGTGATAACAAACCAGTAACACGATACCATCAGCTGGACAAAAGAAAGCAAGAGAACAGACCGAATTCTTTAACAAGATCCACTTAAGCATAGTGTTTAGCACAAGTAACCCTTTCAAATGGATGTTTGGCCATCCTTTTTCCTTACAGATCTGAAATTTACAGAGCAGAAAAGGAACTGAGAGGGCATAAATTACTATTTTTCAAATGTTTACAATTTAGCAATTCAAGCTACCTCAGCTTCAGAATTAGGAAACACTGTATAAAAATAGTTTGGTCTTAAATGGTAAGTTTATTTGTACATGACACTTTGTACTTTTTTTTTTTTTTTTTTAAATTTTTCCCTTTCTTTAAATCCT